CCCCCCATGTGCACGGGGCAGACGGAGATCAAGGAGACTTTCAAGTACATCAACACGGTGGTGTCCTGCCTCGTCTTCGTCCTGGGCATCATCGGCAACTCCACGCTCCTGCGGATCATCTACAAGAACAAGTGCATGAGGAACGGCCCCAACATCCTCATCGCCAGCCTGGCCCTGGGCGACCTGCTCCACATCATCATCGACATCCCCATCAACGTCTACAAGGTGAGGGGGAGCCGGGGGATGGGTCCGGGAGCGGGACCGGGGGTGCGGCGGGCTCTCCGCGGGGCTCCCCGCCGGCCCCCGTCAGATACCCGGCGCCCCCGTGGCTGCTGGGGGGGGCGAGGGGGGCGGGGCGGGGAAACGCACCCCGCTTTTGGCAGGGAGACACCTGGGGGCTAGACCTCGTGCCAAAAACCTGCCGGAAGGTTGTATTCTGGTCAGATGTTGTCCCACATGGCGCACCCCCTCTGTGCCCCTGTCCCAACCCTTTCAGCGGTTCGGGCTGGGAATGGGGCAGAAGCGTGCAGCTGGAGGTGGCCAAGCTCTGAAAGTCATTTGGAAACAGGTGCTGTCCTAGGGATAAAGGAAATAAATGCAATAGATAAATGCGTAGTGGGTTCACGGCTTCCCTCCTTTCCCCCGAGGAATGGAGGGGGAGGTACAGAAGACCCTCTCTCTGTGGGATGGATGGGTATCACTCGGTCCCTCCTGCACAGCCTGGGCAGGCTTGGCCATACACTTCCCGTGGTCACGTACAGTCACAGGTGGCATGGGGACTTTTTCAGGAGGAACCAAGCTCATTCAAACTGGGTCATTGGTAGTAGTTTTATACGTCCAGCGGTTGTGAGGCTGCGTGATGCTCTCCGGAGCTGCGAACCCTTTCCCCCGTTGGCCATTGTTGCAGCATGGGCAGCTGAGAGGGACTGAGTCACACCTGCTGCTCTTGCACCTTCTTTACTCCGGCCTTGGGCGCGATTAAGTGTTGCCACAGAAGGGGTACAACCTCTGCCTCAGCAACCCAGCTTGTGCAGTCCGTATTTCCTTAGGAATTCATTGGGCAGTTGAATCCAGCCTCCAGTTATGATCATCACTCTTGGGAGGGATGCTGGAAATAACAAGGCATCTTCTGCCTTGAGAGTTTGCAGCCTGGGTCCCTGAGCACCCATCACTTGCTGCATAAAGTGGACATGAGAGCCTTCATCTATTCCTTCTGCTCACTTCATATGCATGTTTGTGAATTCTGGGCTTTGTTACTTTTATCTTTGGAAAACCACATTGAAGGAACGGGTTTTGAATTTAGTCTTCCGTATCCATAGTGATCACTTCAGAAGCTGCTGAAATGGGAGAACCCCGTATCTTTACCCTTTTAAAGTATCAAAATATTACAAAGCAGGGAACATTATAAATGTGTTAAATGCATGAGCCGGGTAATTTGGATTACAGAAAAATTCTTAGATTTGGAGTTTCAGTATTTTCCATAGTATACATTTATAGTAGTTCTCCTCCTAAGAGGCGTGTGCTCTTCTGAGAGTGAGTAGAATATATGAGACAAAATACATTAGGCTGTTCTGAAAAATTGTAAAAAAAGATATTGAACAAAAAGATTTTTTTATCTGTTCTCAGAAAAAAATCAAAACGATTAAATCAGTAACAGCTGCTCAGTACAGGACTTTGCAATCTCAGTGGCACTCTTTCAAAACTAAATTAATGATACCATGCAATAATATACCGCAGCCCTTATCTCTGTTGAATGTCGTCAAGTGTATCATTATGAATAGTTTGGATCAGGAGGAACAAAAGGTCAGATTGTAAAGGGATAAATATACCAGCTGCAATTCCAGGATTTCTGTCGTGCTATTGATAATGCTGGGAGCTAAGCAATAGCTCTCGGGTGCTAAATGTCCCACACTATTACTCATCTTAACGAAGATCCCATGATAAATTCATATTAACCCTTACAGTAATGAGTGCAATGTTCGCTGTTTTAAACCAGGAATTTTGAATAAATGTGAGTTTAAAAAAACCCCAAACAAACCTTACACATTGTGTTCATTTAACCAAAATTAAGTTTGAGTGAGGTTTGAGTTGATCATAACTTTTCATCAACTCTACATCCCATTTAATTCCACCCGCAGAGGTGGAATGTTATGAGGGAGAATACAGTAATGCAATCAAAAGCTGCTGGCTATAATCACTCGGCAGTATGGGAAAAACAAAGGCTAGCAAAGGTTTGGTTTGTAAATCAAGTACACAGTTGTGACTTGCAATTTGAAACAATTTTAAACTGGATGAAACATCTTCAGAATTGCCACCAGATCCTCAGTTAGACAGCTGCATGAAAAAGAACGTGAGAGAATTTCTCATGTTAATAAACTGCCAGCAGTTTACGCAACAACACTTGTAATAGAAAGTGTGAAAGCGTTCGTGAATGCTTTCCAGACAGACCCGTAAGAGAGAACTCAGAATTCGCACAGCATTTTATTAGGTATTAAAAGTGGTAACTGCAAAAAATGTCCCCTGTGACTGTTTAAGTTAAGTGAATACGTAAGTAGCTGAAAAAATACACAAATTAAAATTTACATCCTTTGCATTGAAGGTATCTAAAGAAAAGCAGGTGTTACCTAGATCGTGAGGCAAATGCAATCCAGTGTGTAAGGTGCTAATGAGTCCATTGCACTTGATAGATCTGAATATTGATCAGTAAGTTCAGTAGAAAATGGAAAGTATTGGAATCTGTCACGCAGTCAGGAAACTGGGTATGAAGCGAGGACTTCAGCGGTGTTCAGTTCTAGCATGCAGAATGTATAAGACCTTTTCGGCATTCAGGGTCCTGGTAAATAATCTGGCTTTGGCCGTACCCCCAGAACTGCAGAATGGGAAGTAGGGAAAAGTCTGAGATACATCATTCTGCAGTAGGTAAAGTTGTGGCGGTGCAGATACTTTGCAGAATTGCTACTAACTGGATGTGACGGTGGTCCTGTGTCTGGTCAACTGCTTCACTAAACAGACTAAGTAAGCATGCCTTTGTTAATTTGAGGCTGCAAACAGCAATTAAAGGTGAGAAGGTAAGGAGCAGAAGGACAGAGTAGGTGGTCAGTGAGCTTTTTCAGTCCTTCTCTGCACTTAATCTTTGGAAGACAAGGCAGTGGCAGCTTGTACACCTGACAGTACAGGTCTGCAGTTCTGGAAGGCTTATGCTCGGTTTCCCAAATTGATAAAATTGGTAACTCCCACCTGTAAGACACCAAAACATCAGGACTAGAAATTCCAAACTTACATTAGCTCTGCCTCTCATGCATGTATGTGTAGTGAGATAGGAACATAGACTTAAAAAAGCCAGAATCAAATAATATAACATGCTTTCTCTTCTGGTATGTAGACAACATTATATGTCTCTCATTTTGTAATATTTATTCTAGTATGTTAAATCAAATGTATTGTCATGTTCCAATGGATTTTTGACAGGGGGAACAACCTGTCCTCCGCACACTCTTGTGTGGCTTTCTGAACTCTGTCAGTTTGCTGTGACACAAATGACTGAGGAAGAATATCTGCCTGGAAATACTGTCACATGTTCCTCTATCTGAGAACACAATGGAATACCGAAGAAAAAAATTTC